AGCAGACGGCCGAGTTTATTAAACTCCACCGAGACAGCGGTGGAGTTTAATAATCAGAAGGCTAGACCAATTCCACAGCCGTTTACTTCCGGCCTACCAGACCTTCTGAGGACCCGGCCCACGTAGACCGCGAAGGCCCCTAAGCAGGATGCAGCCCATGAATTTGGACACGACCTTTATACATGAAACAAGTTCTTTACTGTCTTCTCAATAGTATATTGACATATTAAAATAGTAACAATAATGTGTGCAGGAAAGTGCGGGAGTCTGAGTGCATGAGTGATATACTTTTATCTCTACATATTTTAAAACTGGGATATCTATGTATGTGTTGCAGCTGTGTTTTCCAGTTAGAGTGTCTGAATGGGAATTTAGCATTGTCCTTGAAGATGGAAGTCAGCGACCCAAAAGAGTGAGTGTTTAATTGATCCCTTACAGATTTCCACTTGTATTCATTATTCCCTTTCAAGTGATTTAAGATTTGTCTTACCTTTTTTGTTTGTTTGAGCAGTTGAGAAAAGAATTGTGCCATAGACTTCTATATGCGGAATATGCATTAATTACAGCTAATGGTCTTGTACTTACTAACTTGTACTTTACCATACATAACTGTGCAAGTCTTAAGTCACCCTTCATCTTTTAAAAATATTTTTATTAGGGAAAAAATGGGGAAATGGTTGCAGAGATTTATTAAGATGTGTAAACATGTGCAAATACAGTAAGCCCAAAACTGAGTTCCTACAATTTTAACGAGTTTGAAAGTCAACATTTGGTTCAACCCCCTTTATTCTTTGACACTGCCTAAGCTATTCTAGGCAGCTTTCTGGTTATACCTTTAAGTAGTCTTCAGGAATAGTTCTTCAGGCTTCTGGAAAGACATCCAAAACTCTTCTTTGGATTTTGGCTGCCTTACTTCTACTTTCTGTCAATTCTGCCTCTGGTGAGGCCAAATTCATGACTCATTCGTGGTGGGCTGAAATGTATTCTTTTCCACACTGGCAATGTGTTTAGGGTTATTGTTATGCTTTTAAATGCCAATCAGAAGCTTTCCCAATGGTATTACGTGATGGTGGCATTTAGGGCTGCCACAAACGATTATTTTGATAGTCGACTAGTCACCGATTATTTTTGCGATTAGTC